AGGAGCCTTTGGGGGAGGCAGAGGGGAGAGGTGACAATAATGTTCTGTCTTCTTTCAGGGAGGGTCTCACAGGGCTTCTCCCCCACAAAAAAAAAATTGATTAAAGAATGCTTTTAGGTGTTGAGGTTGTTTGGAGAGAGGAGTGATTAATTTTAACATGATTAACAGTTTGAGGGAGGCAGCCCTTCTGATACACGTGTGCCCAGAGCCTGTCACAGCTGAGACCAGATCCCTGCCAGAGCTCTTCTCAGAAGGGTCCCTGTGGACCCTCCACTCTGTGCAAGTGCCTAGAATCTCTTGTCTGTGGCCATTGGAATAATCTCTTCATAAGTTTCAAGAACAAAACAAAGCAAAACAACAAGAATCTCTGGACTGAAGCTCCCGAAGCCTGAACCGTATCATGTGCAGTCATGACTCTGTGGACACTCAGGAGCTGCCTGCAGGTGGCCCTGAGACAACCATTGGCTTGGCAGACAGAAGGCAGGTGTGATACCAAGGACCCTGGCTTTACCTACTGGCAGTGTCTGATGAGGAGGCCAGCGCAGGCTCTGCTAGTCATTCCAACAAGGTCCCAACCCACTGAAAATGACCTAAGGTGACCAGAGACACAGGGAGGTGGTTAAACTAGTGAAACTAGGAAACAGAAACAGGGAGACACGGACAACTCCAGCACTGAGCAGCCTGCACACCTGAGAGCCGGAGGCACCCTTGACCTGTGTCCTCAGAAGGGCTTGGCAGGCTCTCTTGCCTCGCCGGCCCCCGACCTGCACACACACGCTGGCACACACACACACAAGCATCGCGCGCCGCCTGTGGGCGCGCTCCCTGTGCAAACAGCAGCATCTGAACCTGGGGCCGTGCAGCCCAGGCAAAGCTCCCCCAACCCCACTGCCCACCCACCCCCCATCACAGTGCTCACAGTGAGGGCTCAGGAACTATCCAAGAATTTCTGAATCATGCTCTTGACAGACACCGAAGCGCTCTCCTCCTCTGAGCATGGAGCGCCGGGGCTGCCCCCAGGGAAGATGACCCTGGCTCAGACCCTGTCCGAGCAGCTGCGGCCAGCTCCAGGAACACTGAATTCTGGCTGCACTTACAGGTTAGCCTGGTTTCTTTAGATTCCCTCTCCTCTCGGCTTGTCTTTTCAAGCAGCAGCCAGCCAAGGTATTCGTCATATTTCCAAGCTACCCTGCTGCTTGGTTTATGCTCCAATGGGGCAGAAGTGAAGACTCCAGAGTGGGCGGTGAAGGCAGGGTCTGGGTGGGCAGGGGGTTGAGGGGTGCTGGAGAGTCCTGTCACCCCAGGGGACACTGAGAGGGTCCCCGGTTTTAGGATCGACTCTGTTCAGTTAGTGCTGAGGAACACACAGGCTCCACAGACATCAGGGGAACAGAGATGATTCTCTCTCTCTCTCTCTCTCTCTCTCTCTCTCTCTCATTGTGAGATACGGCCATAAAAGGAGTCAAGCTTCATTTGCCCTCTCACTGGGCTTCACCTAAAAGGGCTTTCAGAAAAATTTCCAGCCTTCTCCTGTGGGACGCTGGGTGTGATCTCGTTGGCCAAAGAGAAAACAAGTAACAGATGACGCCCATGCGGATGAAGAGGCCAAAACCAAAATGTTAATCACCTCAAAGTATGCACTGCTCCTTCCAAAGCCTCTCTTGGCTCTCCTCAGAGGATCTTTGGAGACTTTCACCCCTGGGGTGGGGAGTTTGCTGCTGATACGGGCAATACATTCGAGGGTCCAAGTTGCAGGAAGATAGAGCATTGTCATTCAGGATAATTAATGTATTGTCTGTTGTGGTGACTTTAAATAGCTGGGATACTGACTGCCCCTCTTGGTTAAACTAAAGCCCTCTAGGACGCTCCCGTAAAAGCTCAAATGCTGTCATCCAAGATGAATAAAAATGCCTCTTTTTATTCCACTGCATATGAAAACATGAGATCATTGGAATATATTTAGAGTGAGATTTGGCAGCCTATACGTGTTTACAATTCTTGGACTCGAAGCTCTAATGTGAATCGGCGACACTCTTTTCCCTCTTCACCTTCTTTTCTTGCTCTAAGAGGGTGAAGACCTGTTCCAAGAGTTTAGAATCCCTTCTTGTTAGTTTCTGAAGTTAACCTTGTTCTGTGATTAACAGCGTCCTCAGTACCACCGACCAGCTTCAGGGGCCGCATCTTGAGGTGTTCACGTGTTAATCCGACCATTGAAGTGGCTCCCCGCCAGGGCGAAGCATCCATTGGGTTTGAGCAGAGCATCTAAAACATACAGACTTCTCAGTTCTTTGAATCATGACTTGGTCTGATTGCATTAGGGAGAAGTCTATAATGCCTTATGGTCACTGACTCTTGTTATGACATAGATTTTGGGTTTCTTTCTGGAGCCTTCAGGAGCAGCGTGGAATCAACGGGAGGCTGCCTGTGCTCTGCTGTCTTGTACAATCTCATCTTTAAAGGCACTGGTTCTCAGCAGTGGCTGCCCGTGAGAATCATCGGGAAGCCTTAAAAAACACTGATCCTTTGTCCCCAGCCCACAGCGATTCTGATTGTATTGATCTGGGGTATAGCCGAGCACCAAAAGTTTTAAAAACGGTATGACACTCTATTCCAAATTTGTTTTTAAAAATCATATATCACAGAAAAAAGATTTGGAAGAACATTCACCAATATGTTGACTATCTCTGAGTAACAGAATTGAGAGAAAATTTTATTCACCTGTATACTTTTCTGTATGACCTGAATTTTGTTTGCCACAAAGCAAATTGCCGTGAAACAAATTATTGGTATAAAGGAGGGAAAAGCTATTCCTCACTTAAAAGGAAAGAAGCTCAAGATACTCAAAACAGAACTCTTCACCTTCTGCCATAACCTGATATCCTCCTGCATCCCTAATTCTGAAAATGGCACTGCCCTCACCCAGTGTCATCCCAGCCTCCTTCCTTCCCTAAGTCTCTGCATTCAGCATCCTTAATACTTCTTAACATTCTCTGCTTCTGACCACACAGGCCCCCTTCCTCTGCTACCTGAATGCGAATCCCTCATAATCTTGCTTTCGTGGTGATGGGCTGGCTCCTCACTGGGCTCTCTGTCCTGGAGGCTGCTGTGTGGCGGTCCTCCAGGGCACACTGCAGCCACATTTATCCTATGCCCCACACCCGCTCCTGGCACTCACCTCTTATTTCCAGAGCACGCCGCAGCTCCTTGCATGGCTTACCAGGCCCTCCATGACCCGACCTACCCGTTCTCATAGCACCTCACCCTGCCCCCTTCCCCCCCGACCATGTACAATATTTGGAGGTCCCCAAATATCGCCTTTGCTTATGCTTCTCCTGTGCTTGGAAGACCCTTCTCTCCCATCCTAACCATTTTCCCCTAGTAAACTCCTGCCACTCAAAGATTCTTCCTTCTCCAAGGAGTCTTCACATTACCAGATCCTCAACACCCAGTCTCTTTCACACACACATACACCTGTGTCTTTGTCTAGCAATGGCTATCTGTCTGTCTGTCTCCCACACTGCTCTCTGACTTCCTTGAGGATTAGGACCTCTCACCTTTGTGCCCCAGCACCACTCACATTACCTGACATTCCCCTGGCATTCAATGATGAGGTAAGGAATAAATGGATAATATCGATCCCTTACATTTATACAGCTCTTTGAGTTTTTCAAAGTACTTTTACATATGTTTGGGGTTGGATGCTGTGCCCCCAAATTGTCTTCAAATGTACCACCTTGTCCTCCAGGTAAGTTTGGGAGAGAGGAGCGGTGTATTCTTCCTCCTTTGCCGGTAAGGCAAAGGAAAGTGAGGTGTGTGATTAAGGCGGGGGGTGGGGGGAGGGCTGCCCAAGGCCATGCAGCTGGCGCGTGGAAGACCCAGGAGACAGACTCTCTGCCTGTGTTCTTCACCCTCGCCACCTCATTTCTTCAGCACGCTGGCTCCACTAGCCTGGATCTCGAGTCCGCCCTGGGCGGTTGCCCACAAAGAAATGGAGATTGTCAGTCATTAAAAATCCTGCCTCCTTCATTTTCCAGTCATGCTTTCAGAAAGGGAGGGCGGGGAAACCAGGAGATATGAAGTGGAACCTGTAGCTCTGTTGAGTTTAAGATGAGCTACTCAAGGGTCTTGAGTCTTCCACAATCAGCATCTTCTGGAGAGAAAGCAGATTCAGTATATGTGGATTTCACCTCTCTGGAGGAAATACACATTCACTAATCCCTTCCACTTTAACCAGGCCTGGGCTGCCAGGGGATCCTTTCCACAGTGGCATCAGTGGGAGAAAGAGCAGAGCCACCTGTCTTCTGACTCAGTGGCCCACAGACCACATCCTTAGCCTATACACAGTGACCAAAACCGTGGCTCATGGCTTTGCCCATCAAGCCAGATTTGGGAGGATAACATGAGGAGGGCCTTGTCTCTGGCACACTTGGAGTCATCCTCACTTGATCCTTGCATTAAGTCTGATGCAGAGAGGGCTCCTGGCTCCTCTCCACTCAAGCAGGTGTTGGAGGAGGTCATCGGGAGGATGTGGCAATCAAAGGCTCTTCACCCCCTCCCCTGGTCCTTGGAATGTACGTTCCACTTACCTTCCCTGCACTGGGAGCTGCCCAAGGACACAGCCTCGAAATAGTAAGCTGTTGTTGAGACCATCTGGACAGTATATATGATCGAACCCAGTGAAGCCCCCTATGTAAACTTTTAAGATTCTGGCAGAGGGTACACAGAGATCCACTTATCTGGCAGCTACCAAGACAAGCCTTATATGTCAGTCCCCTTGCTTATTACACCTGCCACCTACCAATTTAATGTGCCACAGTCTGCCTCTTTCTTCAGTCTCTCCTTGCCCTCCGTGTACAGGGGGCACACTTCCAGTGACAACCAGGGAAGCTCCCAAGGTTTTGAATGAACAGCAGGGCCAAAGGTGCATCTTTACCATCACCTTCCCAGGAGAGTGCAGAAGCGGAGGTGAGGAGGCTGTGGGGGTCAGGGTGGGAGGGTGGCGGGCAGAGAGGAGTGCTACGCCTACCTCAGATTCTCTTACAAGCTATAGCATGGAGCCCTGGGACAGACGCCGTCCCTACCGGGAGAAGGAAGTCACATAGCTGAGCTCCACAAACTCCTAACAGGCACCTACGGTGTGCCAGCTATTATGCCAGGAGCCAGTCAGATAGGGATACATTAGACATGGCTCCTCACCAGAGAAAAGGCATGTACACACACAGGCAAATAACCATGATGCCTGGAAAACGGTGACAAGAGATGCAAACAAGATGCTGTGGGCAGTTAGGAAAGATGATTTCCAGATGGGAATTCAGCAAAGACTTCCTGGAGGAGGTGGCATTCTTTAAGCTGAACTTTGAAGTGAGGGTAAAATTTGGACAAGAAACGTGGTTGGAGATGGGGGGAGATGGAGTAGTAAAGGTAGTGAAGGCTTTTCAAGTTGCAATGTCTACTATTGGATTAAATCATGTGAAACTGTTGATATTTTACTGTTTTACCAATAACATTGATTTCAGATGGTTCAACATAATACTTTCCAGGTAAGTGGAGACAGGAAAACACAGGTTGTAGAGAGTAAACAAGGCAGAAGAAGTTCAGCAGTAGCTGGTAAACTTTACATTAAGTTTCACCTTTCAATAACGTGATAGAAATCACATGATAGAAATAGTTTCACCTTTCAATAACGTGATAGAAATATTCTAGGAATGGCATTTTCCTACTTTCTCCAAAGGAGACTGATATTGCAAGGTTTGTCTACTGTCCAAAGAGCTGAACTTCAGAATCAGACAGAACTGACAAATCACTGGAAGGCAGTGTTGCACCCCCAAGTCTGAAAGAGTTGAGTTCACATCCTGGCTCTACAGCTTGTGAGCTATGCGACCAGCTTCATAACTTTCTGAATCACAGTTTTCTCACCTGGAAAATGGTGATAATAGTAGTCCTTCTCTTCCTCATAAGACTGTGGAGACGATTACATGAGATGGTGCCTGCATTGCTTAGCACAATCGCTGGCCCTCAGGAAGTGCCCAGCAGCTGTTTGCAGGGCTGTAATCTGTGTCAAGAGGCACCGAGGATGACACCATGTCCAAAAATCATAATGGGAATTCCATCCTCAGGGTCGTGGCTTGTTTCAGTGGAGAAGGCAAGGCTGTGACCTATTTTAGCACCTACTTCAGTCACAAGAGAAGGGGGAAAGGAGACACAAGGGAACATACGATACTTGAGCATCTCAGGCCAGAATGACAAGAATAACAAAAGCTCAACATGATCCTCTAAAACCATTCAGTTGCTTTCAGCCCTCAGAGCAAACCTGCTAAGGAATTTCACATTCCCAGGTCTCCCCTGGCAGGCACACCTGGCGCAGAGATGGCTTTTTTTGAGCAAAAAGGGTTTCTGCAAGCTACCAAGTCAACCACCCTGGAGCGGTTCCCAGGAAAGCAGCGGTGACATTAGAACAGCAGGCTTACTTGGGCACCAGAGGAGCGGGAGAAACAGACACTCGGCTTTCCAGGAAAAGAAGTCTTGGCCACTCAGGAAAATCTAAAACCAGAGAGGTAAGGCAGTGAAGAGCACATTCTGACCAGAAAGCACAGGGTTGGGGCAGGCACCTGGGCAGGACTTCTGGCCAACCAGGATGTGGGGTGACTTACCCGTCTTGGTTCCCGGCCTTCCACTTCATTCTAAGCCATCTCCTGCTGGGCATGGGGACAGTGTCCTATCACCACCAGGAAAATTGGCTTGTGTATTTTATAACCCTTGTCAATAAGAATTTTTAAATGAACTTCAGGATTCTAAAGCAAATAGTGTTTGTGATAGGGTGCTGCTTCGAGACTAAGAAACAGTGTCAGGGAACATACTTCTGCCAGCCCCACCTGGCCCTCCCGCCTGTCCTTCCCCCGTATCACTGCTGTCTTCAGTGACCCGCATCTCCCCCCAGGGTCCTCCAGGGGGCCAGCAGCTCGGTTTCCAGGCAGGTTCCTGAGGCCAGCTCAGCTGGCATCTCCCCATTTTTCTGTGCGTCTTCTACCACCCTTCCCCCCAAAACGGAATTGATGGAGCTGGGGGCAGGAGTGAGTTGTGAACACCCTGAGCCAGTATCATCTTTGGGGACTAGAGACCCCTGTAAAAGCCCTGAGAGCAGCACTTCTCTCTGCAGCCCTGAACAGTTTCCCCACGGTTTAAATTTTTCATTCAAGTCACCATTTCCAGTCCTGCTGACAAGTCTGTGGGGTCGGAAAGTGGCTCTGGCTGGGAGCAACAGCACACCGGCAGCAGGCAGCCAGGCCCGGCCCGTGTGTCGACAGCTGGGAGCCATCCCAGAGGCTTGGGGACCAGTTCACGCTGCGAGATTGGTTCCTCCACCCCGATGGAGGGGGACCGCAAGCCAGCGCTCCTGCCATGCGGAGGGAAACTCCAGGCCTCCACGCTCAGGAGGATGTCTTCTCTGTCATTCCCTGCGGCGTCAGCAGGCCCAACTCTAGCCGCCTTTCACCTCACCCCATCCAGGGAACCCCGGAGAATTTCCTCTCTAATTTCAAAGACAGCGTCTTTGAAACGGTCCCTCCGTGACTGTCCTTAAAGACTAAACCTGCTCTGGGAGATCATTCTGCAGAAGATCAGAGAGGACCCAGCCACATGCCAGGCTCTCCTGACTCAGAAATGAGTGAATCCACAGGCCCGTCTCAAGGGACATGTGGGGGAGGACCCCCAGGATCAAGACACTTTTCCTCAAGCATTCAAGGCATTGTGTATGCAGGCAGCAGCCCCAAGTGGAGTCTTTCCCCAGGAGGTGACATTGGAGTTGAATCTTGTAAAATGAAAAGGAGCCAGGGAAAGGGAGCAGCATTTGCAGAAAGCCAGGAGACAGGAATTATGAGCCCTTAGGCCCTCCTGGTGTGTGAGCTGGTTCCGGAGAGAGGCCCAGAGCCAGACCAGAAATGGCCTCATGGGTAAATGTTTAACAAGCAACTGTGGACAGAGCTGGGCAAGTTGCTGATGTGTAATGATTGTGCCAGTTTCCGTGGTATAAATACCTCCCTCCGTGGCAGATTTTGATCTACCGATGGTTTGACAACCAACTCACGAAACTTCCTGGAATTTCAACAGTTTGCGAGCTGGTAAAGGACTAGTGCATCACACGTCACATATAAACCCTACCCTCCCTCCCCCATTCCCTGCCACAGAATCCCTACAAAGTCCTTGGGTAGAGCGGCCCCAGATTAATTAAGTAACTCAGTCCCCCTCACCTCTCCCTGCCCATAGCTCTTCCTTCTCTCTACCCCATGGACACAGGCGTGGACCTCAGTCACTTTTCCTGGAGTTCCACGAAAAAAAAGCTCACTCACACAGCGTAGCCAATTTGTGGAAATGGAGAAGGTCCACATCACAGTGATGCTAATTACATCAAACTTAATATTAAACTGCCCATTCTTAAATGTTTCCTTAGCCATTTCCACAATCCCGGGCTTTGGTCTCCTGCCATATTTCTTTGTCCCCCTCTCTTCAACGTTGACTGAATCCCTCTGCCCTTGACACCCGCCCCCGCAAATCCTTCTATCTATCACAGAGAGCAACTTGGCCCTTTTTTGCTACCCCTCGCCCAGGCCTGCAATGTTCAGTGCATGTTCAGGCCACTGAGGGCGATTTCAAGTCTGAAGGGCCTCTGGGCATGGAGAGGAATACTGACTGCTCTTTACACCTGGTTTAATGTCCATTGATTAATCTTATGAAAGTATAACAATCATCATTCCTTAAACTATCAGCATTCCTTTAAATATTCACACACTACTAACACAGCTAATAAAAAAATTCATGGTAAACAATGAGATACCACTCCACATCTATCAGAACAGCCAAAATCCAGAGCAATGACAGCACCAAATGCTTGGAGGATGTAAAGCAACAGGAACTCTCATTCACTGCTGGTGGGTATGTAAAGTGGTACAGCCACTCTGGAAGACAGTTGGACAGTTTCTTCCAAAACTAAACATACTCTTACCACATGATCCAGCAATTGTACTCCTTGGTATTTACCCAAAGGGATTGAAACTTATGTCTAAACAATAACCTGCGCACAACTATTTATAGCAGCTTTATTCATAATTGCCAAAACTTGGAAGCAATCAGGATGTCCTTCGGTAGGTGAATGGATAAATAAACTGTGGTACATCCAGACGATGGAATATTATTCAGCACTAAAGGAAAAAAATGAGCTACCAAGCCATGAAAAGACATGAAGGAAGCTTAAATGCATGTTACTAAGTGAAAGAAGCCAAACTGTAAAGTCTACATACTGTATGATTCCAACTACATGATGTTCTGGAAAGGGCAAAATTATGAAGACAGTGAAAGGCTCAGTGGTTGCCAAGGGTTGGCAGGGAGGGAGGAATGAATGGGCAGAGCACAGAGGCTTTTTAGGGCAGTGAAACTACTCTGTGTGACACTATAATGGTGGATACAGAGCATTATACATTTGTCCACACCCATAGAGTGCCCACCACCAAGAGTGACCCCTAGAGCAAACGACGGGCTCTGGGTGATGATGATATGTCAGTGCAGGTTCACTGATTATAGTACCTACCATCTGGTGAGGGATGTTGACAGTGTGGGAGGCTGCATCTGGTTGGGGGACAGCGGGTAAATGGGAATTCTCTACTTCCCACTATTTTGCTGTGAACCTGAAACTGTTCTAAAAATACTTTTTCCAAAAGTTCATTAATTTAGCCCATCGGATTTTCACAAGCATTTAACATTGATTGCAAATTTAAAGAAATACCTCCAAACATTTAATTTAAATTCACAAATTTAATATAGCAGATCCTCTTAAAAACTCTACATGCATTAAATGTACAAAATATTACAATTCCAAAGCTGGTCGATACCCTTACATCAAAACGTATTCTAAAAGTGCTAATATTGTGGGTTTCACTTTGTTTCTTATCCTGAATTCCACACCTTTCTGGGGTGCCAGTTTTGACACCTTCCTAGGATTTCCGTGATTTTTACCAAGTACTATTTTTACCTTCCTAGGGATTTTAACAATCTTACCAGACCAAAAGGAAAAAGAAAAATACCAACTTTGACTGCTGGAGTTGCAAAATCTGGGTGGTCGAACAATTCATTCTGGGTCAGGATGTAAGCCTGGGTTGCAAAGGAAAAGAAATCAAATGGAAGGGGGGGATCCTTTTCATAATTATTCTTTGTTTCTTCAGTAAGACTTTTCAAGTCCACACTTCTGGGGAAGGTTTCCAGTTTGACAGCATTGAATTTTCCCTCTGAAATGAGATGAATTCTCATCTTGCTTGGCCAGCATTGGCCTAACCCATTGTCCTGTCATCATGATGTATTGAGCTGATCTGTTAGCATTATTAAAAATGTGCATCTCCTTGCTGGTGTTGTATTATAATTTATAGAGACCATCTCAAAGTTTCATACCGCAAGGGAGGAGGCACCAAGTCCATAGTTTCTGCTCCTCTCTAGGACCCCATGGAACACAGAGGGACCCACCTTTACTCAGTTGTCCTGTGTGACCCCAGTGCTGAGAAGCCCCATCCTGGGACAGTGCCTACTTTTTCCTCAACAAGTTGGCTAACTCAGTGTTCCCTGATTTATTCTTTCCTGCTTTCACAGATAGAAACAAAAACATATCTCTCCTTGGTAAACAGATATGTAATTAATAGAAGAAACAAAAGACCTGTTTATATGAAGTGCCCACTTACTAAAGTCAATACAAATTAACATACACCATTGTGGTCTCCGTCCTTTTGTTCTCCAACCACTGCGCTACATACTTCAGAATTTTTTGAGAATTGTCTTCAACCCACATTCTTTCTCTGGCTCGACTTGTTCTAATTAATGCCCAAATGGTCAAAGCTTGGCCCAGAAGCCCCCTGGTTTGGCTCCTTTGTCCTTGCAACACTGCCCCTGACATCCTTGAAAGCATTCTTGCTTTCTGGCAACAAGATGTTCCAGACCTATCCTAACTTTTTTCCAGCCTCAGTACATGGACTCAGCTGTCCTCCGTGGAATCCTCGTTCCTGTTAGTGATATCAGAGACCACAATCTGGGAGCTTGAGGTGCATGTGAGCATCGGGGGAAGTGAGGGACAGGGGCAAGGGTGCCACCCTGAGGGTAACAGAGACAGAAGGGTAACATGTTTATACTACTATTTCCAACTTAACACAACATACCTGGTAGCTTCCACCTACTTTTCTCACAGTATAAGTCATCAGTGACCACTAAGCCTTTCTCTGCAGCTCTCACCTATTCTCCCCACCCCTTCCTGCAAGGGGAAGGGAGATGGACATAGATTTATTTGCCCATTGATAGAAACTGTGCCACTGCCTCACCCTCAGAAGGACGCTGCCTGCAATGATTTGGTTTTCAACTGTTTTCTCCGTTGTACATTCCAAGGGAATGGGGCGGGGCACATGATCAACTTTGTATCAAACCTATTGAGTTTGATATGTTTCCATTCAGATGGAAACATCTCACAGTCAGTTTCAGTTGGACACATGGGTCAGAATTTCTAACATGAACCACAAGCAGAGAAAGCCTCTCAAGCTAAAGGCAGGTGGTTTGAAGCTGTCTGTTGCCAAAGGGGCCATCAACAGCTTGGGCTATTTGCTTGGGAAAACTTGGAGACTCTTCTGTTTTTCTAATTCTCATTTCGTCTGAGTCCTTGCCAGGAATCCCTGATGTTTTTACTTAACACCAGAGTTCCAAAACAAAAATTAGCAAACAGCCCAAGAGGCTGGGACCCAGAGAAGGGGCCAGCCACCTCTCCCCATTGCTAACCCTAGAGAAAAAGGTGGTGGAGACCTGGAACCAAGGCAATAGAGGCTTTTGGAAAAAGCCCTGGCCATTCCAGAAGATGTCTCCCCAGGCTTTCCTGGTATGTTCTGGAGCCTCTGGAGGAACCACAGAAGTGAGGAACAGCGGCGGGTTTGCCGAGAAAGACCTTCTCTCATCTCCCGAGCAGCCATTCCTAGTGGTGCTGTGGGGAGCGTCTCGCCTGAGCATCACCTGCCCCCTTGGCTGAGACAAGACAGTGCAGCTTCTTTCCTGACCCTGCAGGACTGTGTTCATCTGAGAGCGTTGTTAGAATTGAGACAGACGCTAGGCAGCCTGCTCTCACTCAGGGTCTGGACACAGCAACTTGGATCTCGGTTGTTTACCTAATCAAGCATTAGGTTATTTTTTTCCCCTTTCCTGATTATAAGAAATTGCCAAATGTAATCAGCCCCTTCATCCTCATCACTGTTCTCCACTCTGAGCCAGAGAAAGTCAGACCTGGAGAAGAATCACTCCCCAGGCTAACAGCTAGTCCAGCGGCCCCGTTTCCAGCCTCATTTCTCGCCTTTCCCCAACACAAATCCACCCGAGTGAGTTCTGTCTCTTCACTGGCTCCCCACCTCCACACACAACAGTCCTGGCCTCTCTGTCCCTCCAAAAGAAATGTATGGGCAAAGATGTCCATCATACAATTATTTATAAAAAATTAACTTCCATCTTCAACTATTGGGGAATAATTTAACCATGGCTCAAAGATGTGATAGAAGACTCTACAGATATTAGAATGGATCAACGTGAAGATGAGAGTATAGAAAAATGCTTGTAGATTACTTCCAAGTAAAATAAGCAGAACACAAAATTGTTTATAAACCGTGATTAGAACTAATTCTAAAAATGTGTATTTCTCTGGCTAAAGGTTGAAAAAGAGACACAAATGAAAACAATTGTGTAAGAAGAGTAGGTAAGATTATACATTGGACTGTTATCTCTAAATTCCTTCAACGTTACTGAAAAGTTGTGTCAATAATAAAAATGTCATATAAAATTGAAGCGCCAGGGCTTCCCTGGTGGTGCAGTGGTTGAGAGTCTGCCTGCCGATGCAGGGGACACGGGTTCGTGCCCCGGTCCGGGAAGATCCCACATGCCACGGAGTGGCTAGGCCCGTGAGCCATGGCCACTGAGCCTGCACATCTGCAGCCTGTGCTCCGCAACGGGAGAGGCCACAACAGTGAGAGGCCCGCGTACCACAAAAAAAAAAAAATTGAAGCGCCGGGTTAGTGGACTTACTTATCCCAAGTAAATTCATGACAAGCTGATCATGGCTTGTGGTTCACCTTCCCCTAGTTACATATTTGATCTGAAAGAAGTCTCTTGGGAAGGAGACCTCTTGAATTGAAGAGATTCCAGGAGGTGAGGTCTTGGGTGGGGCAGAGTGGAACAAGGTCTCTGCTTCCCCAGCACCTGGTATGTCTCCTCACAGGGCTGGAGAATTCCGTGGCTCTGCTGGCCATAGAGACCACTACACATTTCTGGGCTCCTCCCATGGGCCGAGTACCCAGGGATCAAGAGGAAAATGAGAGATGGCACCATGGAGGTGGCAGACAGACCAGGCACAGTCCAGGCTATGGCATGCGTTACAAGGGCAGGAAGTGAGTCCCTGAGGTCCCAAAAGATGAGGACGATTTTGACAGATGAAGAAGAGCTCAGACCTGACTGAAGTGAACTGGATGAGGCCCATGCTGGGAGGCAGTGTGCTCCAGGAGAGAAAGCACAGACTTTGCACCCTGAGTTTAGATCCCAGCTCCATCACTTACTACCCAGGTGATCTGGAGCAAGCTACTAACCTCCCCAAGCCTTAGTTTTCTTGTCTGTAAAATGGGCATTAATGATCCCTACGGGAGTATTAATTCTTCTGAGTATTAAGAGAAGACAAAGACATGAAAGTACAGTGCCTACACATGGGAGGCACTCCATAAGTATTGGTTTCCAACCGGGGCAGTCTGTCTTCAAACCCATGATGCTCCCACAGAACCACATAATGGGAAGGACAGAAAGAGAACTGTGAATCAGGGCAAGAGGCATAGAAACCCCAGGCAGTTTCCAGAAGAGAACAGGGAGAGTGCAGCCCAGGCCAGATAATCCCTCTGGGTAGGGCTCTTTCTTCTAGATTTTTACCCCACACCTGTTCATGTCTTATCATCACCATCTGTATCAGTCTCAGCATCACAAGAACTCTACATCTGTTCCCACTGAGTTGGGTGATGTCTCTCCAAAGGGCTTTGCCCTTCAGGTTTGACAAAGTTCAGGGAGGGGAGTGGTGGCCGCATGCAAGTTCTCTGGTCAGTCAAGGGTGATCTTGCAACGTCTTGACCAACTGTGCCAACCCAACACCTAAATTGTGAAATGAATGTCTAGAGGGAGTCTCCATGAGTGCTGGCTGCCCTGTGTGATAGGAAGGGCAGTGGATTAGGATTCAGGACCCTAGAGCTGGGTTCATAGCCTGGTCCCACCCCCCCCCACTGTACATTACATGTCCTCAGGCAAGTACCTTGACCTTTCTGGGCTGCAGACTCTTTGTGGGCTAAATGAGGGCGTTGGACTTCATCAGAGGTTCTCAGCCCCCTGCACATTACTACCACCTGGAGACCTATCAAAACCAACCAAAAGAACGCCCAGGCCCTCACAGAGAGTCTCATTTCATTGGTTTAGGGTGAGGCTGGGACATGAAGATTTTTTTTAAATTCCCTAGATCACCTTTTTTCAAACTTGGCCACACCTTGGAGTCCCGTGGGGCATTATTTGTTTGTTTGTATTTTATTGAAGTAGAGATGATTTACTGTATTATGTTAGTTTCAGGTATACAGCATAGTGATTCAGTATTTTTGCAGGTCATATTCCATTATAGGTTATTACAAGATAATGAGTATAATTCCCTGCACTGTACAATATATCCTTGTTGCTATCTTTTTTTTTTTTTTTTGCGGTACGCGGGCCTCTCGCTGTTGTGGCCCCTCCCATTGCGGAGCACAGGCTCCGGACGCGCAGACTCAGCGGCCATGGCTCACGGGCCCAGCCGCTCTGCGGCATGTGGGATCTTCCCAGACCTGGGCACGAACCCGTGTTCCCTGCATCGGCAGGCGGACTCTCAACCACTGCGCCACCAGGGAAGCCCTATCTATTTTAGGTATAGTAGTTTGTATCTGTTAATCCCATCTACCCCATTGTCCCTCTGCACTTTCCTCTCCCCTTTGGTAAACACAAGTTTGTTTTCTATGTCTGTGAGTCTGTTTCTGTTTTGTATATACATTCATTTGTATTACTTTTTAAATTCCACTTATAAAGATATCATATAGTATTTGTCTTTCTCTGTCTGACTTATTCCACTAAGCATAATATTCTCTAGGTCCGTCCATGTTTCTGGGATGTTTTAAAGACTACTGATGGCTGGGTCCCACCTCTAGCAATTCTGCTGTGGGGTGAAGCCTGGGCATTGTGGTTTTTGAAGCTCCCCAGGTGATCCCAATGTGCAGCAAAAACACATCTCACCTGGAGGCCTCTCCACAGGAGGCTCGCATCACACTGGCTGGTGATACTT